TCTCATGCTCACACTGTCCACGCACATTCACCTCGCGCATCCGCCTGGTCGGTCACTTGCGAATCCATCGCACAGAGACTGGCGACCCAGTGCGTGAAGCATCAAACTACACCCACCGCACTCGCCTCCACTGCCCACACTGTCCTCGCACTTTCAGGCATCGCATGAGCCTATTCGGCTACATGCGCATCCACGACGACCTACGGTAGACAACCGCCGGCCACACCACACATTCACTCACTCCCAACCTCCTCCACCACCACCATCACCCCCCCAGAAATCAACACTCACACACCTCATGCACCCAACTGCCACCTCCCACGCAAGTTAGAAGCCCGCATCTCAACTCGGTCCCCATGCGGTTTCGGCCGCACGGGTGACCTGAGTCCGAGTCTATCCCGACACGTCAAGCGTCGTGGATAGGAAGGTTGCTGATTGACGCCCGCTCTCGGTTCACGCAGTTCGTCGCGTTGTGTCTTTGTTGTGTGGAGTGGCGTACTGGTGGGCTGGGAACGGGCTGAAACAGCATCTTCCACGGCACTCTCACGCAAGTGAGAGACACGCCGTTCAACCCTCGTTGTGTGAAATCCTGGTGTTGTGTGTATGGAGGGCCAGGTCGTGCCGTGGCGCACACAGTCATGGTCAGTCGACCATGACAGCCCCCGCGCCCATTCCCAACTCCAGTCTGCTGACCGGCTCGGACAGCAGCTGGGGTGTGGGAGTGGGAAGGGAGAGTGAGGTTGACGACTCAGCGCACTTAATCCTCACTATAAACAATCTGACGCGCTTGAATCTATGACGGTGCGCTAAAAGCCGTGGCTTGGAAGGTTGCCAACTGACGGGGTACCTTGGGCCTCCTCCATGACCGGAGGCGATCTGTGAGTCAAGCTGCAATGGCTCCTTTTAAATGTGGCCTTTATGGCACTCCCATCACAGTGTGGGATCCGAGCCAGGCGTTGGCGGCACGCCCAGGAGCGGCTTCGGCCGCGCCAACCTCCAAAGCTCTCTTGTGTTGGTTGAAATCCTGGGTATTTGTTGTGTGAACCAGGGGGTGTGGTGGAACGCCAAGGTGAGGATCCGTCCGAGCCATCCACCTGCGGCCTCTCTCGTCTCCGGTCTTCTTGAATCTGTCTTGACACCGGGCTCGGGCGAGGGAGGAGGAGAGAGTGTAGGTAGATGCTACGCAAGTCTACCGGCACTATAAACCCCTGCGTAAGTCACCGTCCCTGCTCCCATTGCTGCTGCAACTGTGGGGCACACAGTGGACATCATCGAAACCGATGGTCGAACTGTCATTTATATATTAACGTTTCATATGGATTTAAGGTGTAGTTGACGCAAATAAACGGGTAAAAGTGTACCTGCAACATTTGAAATTACACTTTTCGTACTTTGTAAATATTTTAAACAGGATTGGGATCAGCATGGACAATATGGAAGATAAAATAATTATAAAGAAAGCGAATGCATGACTTTTCGTATTTATACTTAATATCTGCCACTTCTTTCCAAAAAAATGTCCCGTCATATCACAAATCTACAAATGCGGTGATAATCATATCGATGACAAGTAAATGTTTACGTAACAATTAATATAAAAGTGTCTCGTACGCGCAAGATTGTAAGAATACTACAGATATCTCCGTTGCAGAAGAGATATCCGCAAAAGCGGTACCTGCTGCCTGGCATTTGAGGACCATAAGCATTTCTTACATCTCTTACGTTATATTCACTTGCGTTCCCATTCCATCATCACTTAACAACCCCGGTATCGACGATAAAGGGCCTTATGCACGGCGGAATTTCGAACCTGTCGAAAGTCGCTGTGAATACAAGTAATCACATCGGTAGTCCAGATGTGTGCTACTCGTTTCTAAATTGCAGCAGATTAATAACATATAGCGCGTTCTAACCGCATTTCAGTTTTGTAGACCTTGAACAATCAACACTAAGTAACTCACCTCGGCGGTCCGAATATCCAGTGGCGCCTACGCGATCAGTCTCCTACAAAGAAACGAGCCCCAATTGTCTGACTAGACACTGAATTACCAGGGACGTTAGGGACTGTAAATATGACTTTTAAAGAATTAAGAAGTCTGTTGATATTGCACGGTTTCTAATGGTTGTCGCATCATAAAATTACCATACTGGATCATGTATGAAGAACGTGATCGTAGAACTGCGCATCCTTGAATTGCTTTTAATATTGTTGCACGCAAAATACACATCGCTACCCGGCGTCTATAAACTTCCTTATCCAAATATCTGCTGGTGCTACATTACGGTGATGTATGTCGATTATTTCCAATGGAGTTAGAGCGCATTTGATAATACTTTCACAGCGCTGGCAATAAAGTTGAATTCCTGTAAACTTAACTGCATTTAGCCTAAGTTAAGTCAGTCATTTCAGTTGATTTCTTTAAAACTGAAGTGCT